AACCTGGATATAAAGCCAAAAAAGTATAGTAAAAGAAAGAAAATTACAGGCTAATTTCACCTAAAATATATATGCAAAGGTCTTAAAATATTAGAACAGAATTCAACATTATATTTTACAAAATAATCACAATTAAGCAGTTCACCCATAAATTTACTCATGATTCAACATGAGAAAGTTAACTGATGAAATAAACCACATTTTCAAATTAATTATCTCAATAAATGCATAAAAGTCATTCATAAAATTTATACTCCATAATAAAAATCTGAGCAAGGTAAGGAGATAGAAGTTCAAAAGGAAAGCTATTAAAAACAGAAAAGCAAACATCATACTTCATAGTGAGATTTGGGAAGCATTCCGATGAAAGTCAGGAGCAATACAAGGATGTTGGTTATCTATGCTGGCTTATTTGTAAATGATAGGACTGTCAGCATGGAACACAAGAGAAATTTCAACTAAACCACCAGAACAAATTAAGTCTAACTTAGGCTAGATATAAAAGATGGAAAAGTACCTCATGGAGATAGTTATAAAACATTATTTAAGGCAAAAAAAGGTCCAAATTCTCATAAAGTTCCAATAAAAATCCCAGTCTTTTTTATAAAGGGTAAATATAACAAAGGCAATTTTGAAGAACAGCAATGTGTGGAGGCTGTTGACATACCAGGTACCAAAACTTATTAAAAAGACAGTGTGGGGGGGGTGCCTGGGTGGCTCAGTCGTTGGGCGTCTGCCTTCGGCTCAGGTCATGATCTCGGTCCTGGAATGGAGCCCCGCCTCTGGCTCCCTGCTTGGCGGGAGGCCTGCTTCTCCCTCTCTCACTCCCCCTGCTTGTGTTCCCTATTTTGCTGTGTCTCTGTCAAATGAATAAATAAAATCTTAAAAAAAAAAAAAAAAGACAGTGTGGGGGTGCCTAGGTGGCTCAGTCGGTCAAGTCCAACTCTTGATTTCAGCTCAGGTCATGATCTCAGGGTTGTAAGCAGGGGTCCCTCAGCAGGGATTCTGCTTGAGATTTTCTCCTTCCCCTTCTGCCCCTCTTCCTACTTGTTTTCTTTAAAATAAATAAATACAATCTTAAAAAAAAAAAAGACAAGAAGGCGCCTGGGTGGCTCAGATGGTTAAGCGTCTGCCTTTGGCTCAGGTCATGATCCTGGAGTCCTGGGATCCAGTCCCGCATCGGGCTCCCCTGCTCCTTGGGAGCCTGCTTCTCCCTCCGCCTTTCTCTCTCTCTGCCTCTCATGAATAAATAAAATCTTAAAAAAAAAAAGACAAGAGTGGTGCTAGCATAAGAATAGAAAGACCAACAGAACATATGGGAAAGTCCTCGAAACAGAACCACACATTTAGGAAAGCGTAACAGGATGTAGATAGCATTATAAACTAGTACAGAATAGATAAATTAATGGTACTGGGATACTTATTCCCATGGGGGGAAAATATATATTCTCTATTTTGCATTCCTTTTGTACAAGAGAGTCAGTTCCAGGTGGATTACATGTATGAATGTGAAATGCAGAACATTTAAAAAAATGAGAGAAAAAATTTTTTGATCTGAGGCAGAAAGGGTTTCTTAACCAAGACATAAAAAAAAACAATAAAATATGAAAATTTTGGCTATATTTAAATGAAAAGTATCTGTACAACAAAAATGAACATGAATATAAATAAAGAAGACAAGCCACAGACTGAAAGAAATTGAAAACATACAAACAAAAATAGAATTAGTATGAATAAAGGACTCTTTTAACAAGTTAATAAGCAAACCTAAAGCCAATAAAAAAGTGAGCAAAAGATATCAACAGAAAACACTCAAATGGCTAATTTAACATTCAAAAAGATGCTCCATCTTATTACTAACCAGAGAAGTGCAAATTTAAATTAAATATCATTTCACATCCATCAGATTGGCAAATTCAGAACTAAAAAATAACATCATCAAGTGTTAGAAAGAATGTAGAGAAACAGAACACCTTGCCAGTGAAAATGTAAAAAACTGGTATAAAACCACTTTGGGGAGCAACTTGGTAATAGTACTTGAAGCTAAGCATACCCACCACCAAGCAATTCCACTTCCAACAACACATTGTTAGAAAATCCCCTGGAGGGGCGCCTAGGTGGCTCAGTCATTAAGCGTCTGCCTTGGGCTCAGGTCATGGTCCCAGGGTCCTGGGATAGAGCACCACGTTGGGCTCCCTGCTCAGCGGAGAGCCTGCTTCTCCCTCTCCCACTCCCCCTGCTTGTGTTCCCTCTCTCACTGGGTCTCTCTCTGTCAAATAAATAAATAAAATCTTAAAAAAAAGAAAGAAAAGAAAACCCCCTAGAAATGTGGATAAGGAGAAAGGCACAAGAACAGTCACTGCAGGGGTGCCTGGGTGGCTCAGGTCATGATCCTGAGGTCCTGGGATCAGGTCCAGAATTGGGCTCCCTGCTCTGCCGGGAGTCTGCTTCTCCCTCTCCTACCCTTCCTCTCCCCTGCTGCCGCTGTTCTGTCTCTGTCTCTCTCTCAAATAAATAATCTTAAAAAAAAAAAAAAGAGAATGGTCACTGCAGCAGTTTTTAATTCATAATTAATACTTTAATACCTACAACAGAAAAGTTTAAAAAAAAGTTTTTTTTATTCATTCGAGACACAGAGATACAGAGAGAGAGAGAGAGAGAGAGAGAGAGAGAATGAGCAGGAGAAGCAGAGGGAGTGGGAGAAGACTCCCCGCTGAGCAGGGAGCGCAATGCGGTGCAGGGCTCTATCCCAGGACCCTGGGATCATGACCTGAGCCGAAAGGCAGACGCTTAACCATCTGAGCCACCCAGGCGCCCCAACAGAATAGTTTTTTATACAATAGAATATCCTACAGCAAATAAAATGAACTACAGCTATATGTATGAACAAGATAAACCTCAAAATCAATAATATGTAATGGAAAAACATTTTGCAAAATGATACATAGTTTGAACATATTTATATAAAATCTAAAAACACACTAAACACTATATATACATATATATAACACACAAACCTAAGTACTAAGATATAAAATAAAGTATAAAAACATAATTGGGTACACTAAACACCAAATAGGGACAGTAGTTATAGCAGGAAAGAATGGGAAGCTTAACTGTTTCTGTAATTTTTATTTTTAAAAAAATCTGAAAAAAAAATCTGAGGCAAATTTGGAAAATTTTTCTTTTCTTTCTTTTTTTTTTTTAAGATTTTCTTTCTCTCTCTCTGAGAGAGAGTAGAGAGAGAGAGCGCACCAGTGGGGTGAAGGGCAGAGGGAGAAGCCGACTCCCCGCTGAGCAGGGAGCCCAATGCGGCTGGATCCCTGAACTCTGGGATCATGACTCGAGCCGAAGGCAGACGCTTAACTGACTGAGCCACTCAGGGGCCCCTGGAAAAATTTTCTTAAAGTTAAGTGTGAATACACAAATATTCATTGTCTTACACTCAACCAGTCTCTACGTGTTTAAAATTCACAATGAAGAAAAGTGGGAAAATGGTTACTTTTACATAAACAGAACTTTAAAAAGATGCCAGAGTATAAAACCTGTCTTCCAAATAGCTGTCAAAAAATTTTTTAGAAAGTCAAATCACTCGTAAAAAAGGTAGCAGGAAGTGCCCCCCAGCTTAATAGTATAATTAAAGCTTATTACTTGTTATGTATCTATCATTATTAAATTAAGTTCCTAATGTGTTCAAGCATCTTGACATTTAAATAAGGATTACAAGATTTTAAGAACATAGCAGAAATACATTCCAGTATATTGGGGACTTTTATATGTTAGGTAAACCTACTATGGTAGGTGATCTGCCATTCGAATCTCATCATCTAAATTTACATGTCCAGATCCACCCAACATGAAACACACAAGGCTGTGAAACTCTTCTTTCATTGTATTTTAGCCTTTTTTCCCATTAAACACTCATTAAAAACAAATTAAAAAACACACAGGCCTTAGAAAAGTGACACGCTATTTTGCACACAAAGGCCATCCAGTGGCCTTGGATTTAGAACTCCCGCTTGAAAGTTGCTTCTCCAAATCCTTATCCACAACATTGCTGAGGTAGCTGAAAAACAACGCAAAGCGTATAGGCTTGGGTTCCAGTTGTGTAAAACCGACCTTTTGTGCTTTCACCAATTTCTCGAGAGGTTGTTAAAAGCTTTGGGGAGACTTTGCTCCCTGTCCAGCCGGGGCTGGGCAAATGCCAGCTACTCTCATCTGCGAAAGACCGAAAGTCTAACGCTTTTAAGAGGGTCAAGCAGTTCTGTCACGGTGTTCCGCTAACAGAAAGGAGCAGGAAGGGGCCCCCTTTCTTCCAAGCACCGGGACCCAGTGAGGCGCCCAGGGGCTCCCTGGAGAGTATCCGTACCGAGAGCCGTCGAGTCAGAAACAGCTGTCTGACATAGAAATTCCCCACACTGGCGTCCTTTCCCTACCTTGAACCCCTCAACGTTGAGGGCTGGTTGAGAGGGGGAGGGGACACCTCAGCGCAACAACGGCCTCAACCGTCTCCCGCCAAGTCCCCACTCCGGCCCACCAAACCCGCGGCCAGAAGAATCCCACACTCACTGGAAAGTGGGGCCAGGTCCTGGTCCTGGCCCGGCCCCAGGAATTCGGCGGGTCTCCCAGGGTTTCGGGGGAGGAGGCGGCTGGGAAGCCATCTCCTCCGCCTCCGCTCGGCTCTTGGTCCGCGCTGGGACTCCCCAGGCCCGGGTACACTAGCGCCTCACGCGCCAGGCAGAATGGGCAGAACACCGAGTCCTCCACCCCGCCCACCCCTGCAGTTAGCCTGTCGGTTGTGGTACTTTGCCAGCTGGGACCTGAGGAAAGGAGGATGACGCTAATCCACCCGGGTGGGGAATACCCTCTTTTTATTTGCCTTAGCAAGAATTTCCATTCTAAACCTGAGGGTAAGGGCTCATCGATATTTCTGGCAGCGGCTACGACGCCCTAGACGTCGGAGTCCCACGGAGGCCTCTCTGGGACTAGTCTGGCTCTGGCCGGGAGTTCAGTCCCACGCACTCCTACCCCAGCGTGGGTGGCGGTGGGATGAGGGGTTGTGGCGGAGCGACAGGCAGTTTTTCTGGTTTCTCCACAAACAAGAAGAGGAGAGCGTTCACTCAGCCCTTGCGAGAGGGCCTGGTACTTTCGTTCTAAAGCTTTCGTTTCCTCGGGGAACAGAATTGCTACACGCAGTAGGTGCGTTGTCTTTAGTCTTCCCTGTTCCCTCTGCGGGGCTAGAAGGGGTTAAACCTCAGGCTCCGGCGTCGCGGTGGAAGGTGAGGCAGGAAGGTCTAAGGGGTGGGGGTACGACTTGGGCGCAAGAGAGGTGTGGATGGAGGGGATAGTTTCCTTCCTGCCGGAGCGGCCTTGTTAGCAAGGAGGGGTGAGCGGGAAGTTTCTTGGACCTGACTGAAGGAGGGGAAGGGCTTTCTTGGCCAAAGACTGGGGGTTAGGCCTTGGATGAATTTCCAAGAGTATACGGTAGATTCTACAATTGAGTATAACGGTAGCACAATAAAGTTGTGAGGGTCGCCTTTGAAAAATCCGCACACTTTCCCACCCCCGTGAGACAATGACACACGGCTGTATGGAAATGAGTGTTGAAAGATCACGGGATGTGAGACTTAGTCTGGCCATTTTGGTGTTTTTCACATGCCCCGCTACTTCTCTATTTGCAACGAATGGTTTCTCTAAGTCCAAGAGGTGAAAAGAAAGTCCATCGTCTCCTCCAGTTATCATTGGTTCGTGGAGAAGGGACTCAAACCCCGTAAAGATCCTGACACGTGGGAAGAGATTCTGTTGCAATGACTAGTTCTAATTCTTTATGTAAAAGAAGCACTTAAACGAAAATCTTAACGAAGGCAACCGACAATGAAAACCTTACAGTATGGGATGCATTTCTCAGGGTTTAGCTTTCAAGGATAATAAACCTCATATGGAACAACTGATTTCTGATAACTTCTGAGATCTTTTCAGTGCTGTACGTCGATGAAACAACCAAATTTGAGACAGAACGCATTTCCTCCTTTAAATGTTAACTTGTTTGAGAAGTCGCTTGATTGTTGCTAAATGAAAATGATCTTGAGGGTTTGGAAGACCATTCCGTTACTGACACATACACACTGAAGAGGGTTTTTTGTTTTTTTAAGACCTCTTCAAATTACTCAGGACAGGAGGTTTCCTAATTCTCAACAGGTTTGGGAACTGCTCAGAGCCAAGAGATTGTAATGTGTCATTTATTGACTTTGCGTGAAACATTCAGTCTTTGAACCAAAGGAAAGAAAGCATCCATTTTCTTCAATTAAAAAGATTTTTTTAAATTTAAGTGTACTTGACACACAATGTTACATTAGTTTCATGTGTAAAACATGGTGATTCAACTTCTGTATATGATATTCTGTGCTCACCACAAATATAGCTACCATCTGTTACCACCCTATAACCTATTACGAATCATTGCCTTTTATTCCGGTAACTTATTCCATAATTGGAACTGTATTTCTCACTCCTCTTCCTTCTGGCAACCATCAGTTTCTTCGTTTTTTTAAATTCCACTTATGGGTGAAATCATATGGTATTCGTCTTTCTCAGTCTGACTTACTTCATTTAGAATAGAATAATAACCTGTTCAGTCCATCCATGTTGTCGCAAATGGAGGGATCTTATCCTTAGAAAGGATATGTTAATAATAGTATTTAACTTCATCCCCAGGGAAAGCTTTGATACAAAGTGTTCTTTCAAGAACTTACTCATGCACTTATTTACCCAGAGGGTTTATTTCTCTTTCTGAGTTAAAGGTTAATTCTGAATTAAATGAAATCTTTGGTCTTAAGTAATGAAAGGTGGAGAAAAGATAAAGAGTGAGACAGAAATACTTTCTCTGGGAGGGGATTGCAGTCAGGGATATACCTTAAGTGCTGAGAATCAGCCCCTCAATGAATCCCAGCCCTTTCTCAGAATCAAACTAGCAGATTAAATGGCCTGGCAGAAGGAATTCAGATCATCTGTATATAATGATGACCACACAGAGCTTCTCTATATACAAGGTGTTCTCCACATAATTCTGTGTCCTTTCGTGAAAATGCCCTTGAGCCCAAATTTACTTAGGCTACCCTAAATCAGAGCTTTAATCCTGTGTCTCAAAGTTTTCACTGGTGTATCCAGGTGAAGTCTTATTTTCTTCTTTCCCTTCCAGTCTGCCAGCTCCCATACTGTATTTACCTGAATTGAAACTCAGCAGGAGGCAATCTGCCTTTTGTAGTCCTAGCTGCTAAACTGATTTCTATGGTGAAGGGTTTTGTGGAAGTATATATTTGACTTCCTCATTATTTTGTGTCAAGGATATACTCTCAATAAGTGGCCACAAACATTTAGTAATTTGCAAGTAAGGACTGGGTTTTAAAGGGTTGGAAAGCACAAACTAATTCTAAGAATCACATCTTCACAATAAGGAGCTGGTAAGAGCTCCACCCTCCCACAAATTTTAAGCAAGTTCATTTGAATTATGAAACTGCATGAATTAAAAAGCACCACTGTTTTTTATCTGTATGACCACCATACCACAACATTGCCATGCAATCATTATTTTATAAAATATTGCTGGTTCCTCATTTTAAAGTAATGTGAGCTGATTTATTAATCAGAAGATCTGTTTTTGCAAAACAATAATTAGGTAACTTAATTTTCATACACCTCCTTCCTGGCAACAAGAGAGTTATATCAGATTTTACTCCATTCTCTAATTTGTTTTTAAGGGCGTTTATTCAAATTGTGAAAAGTAACAACTTGTTTTAGATGATAATTACTCTTAAATTATTTTGCATTTAATTTGTGGGGGTTTTTTGGTGGGGGGAGGTTTTACTTGTGCATGAAAGGAGCAGATTCTTCTCATTTTGCTAATAGTTTGTTGTCATTTAGTTATTTTGTCAAAGTATAATCGATGTTTTTAGATCTACTGATCAATTTATTTTAAATACTTGACTGCTTAACTATCATTGAGGCGAGTAAAATATATAGACTGATCTGATTATTTTTTCCTGGCAAACTCATTTTTAATTTCTAATAGGAAAAGTTTATTGAATTGACTACTTGTGTTCTCAAACAACACTGAATGGTACAAAATAACAAAACATCACTCTGTATTCTTTGTTTTTATTACCCTCCTCAGAGACAACCATTCTTGATTATTTTTATTTTTATTTATTTTTATTGGTATATTTTATCATAATCCAGAATGCTACACTAAATCCTTGATAATTAGAAGCTTTTACCTAATAAATGTCCTTCAAGTTTATGTTTCAATATGCATATAATGAAAAGGATATTATTGGAGAGTACAAAATAATGTTTTTAAATAAAAGTTCGTTTTTATCCCTAAAGGTGATGACATATTTCTCTGTGAAAGTAAAACACAAAAGATGTTCATTACTTTTACTTTTTCTTTCTTTCTAGTTATAATTATTCAATATGTTTCCATTGACTGAGGAAAACAAGCATGTGGCCCAGTTGTTGCTCAGTACTGGTACCTGTCCAAGATGTGTTTACAGATTCTGTGGTGTGGATTTTCATGCACCTTACAAACTTCCCTACAAGGTACTTTCATTTTGTTTCTAAAGAAAGTTTCTCTATTCTAAAATGAATACCTGTACATTTGAGGGCAAGTATCTGTCCATAACTCTTCATTAAATTAAAAAAAAACTATAATAAAATAATTACTGATAATGGTAAATTTGGAATTTCCTTTTAGTACCATTAAACTGTAAGTTCCTTCTTAAGTGATTACATCTAGCATTTAATGTAGTGGGATCTTTGTGGAGCACATCCCTGGTGTATTTAATGTTTGTATATACCTCTCCTGAAGAGAACACAGGTACCACAAATAGTACTTCTAACCAGATAGTAGTAAGATGTGACAGGGGAGGATGACAGTCCCGAGATCTTCTGTTAAGTGGAAGCATTGGGGATTTGGCTGCCTTTTTTCTTTTTCTGTTTTCTGTATTACCATTTGTACTTACAAATAGGTATTTGCAACCCTCCAGAAGTAAATGCTTATCATCATCATTTACCGCTGTTAATAATAGCAAAAATAATATACAGGGATCTTTGACATTTATGGTAATATACAGAGAGCTTTGACTAACAGAATACTTTCACAAAAAATATGTAACATATTTTGTGAGGTATACTTGATTCCAATAGTGACATTCTTTTTAGAGACAGATAGTAATTATATATATGTAAATATATACCTATATAAACACTATGTATACACACATGCACACTCAGTTTCTTACAATTTTTAAAAATTGCTCGGGAGTTAGTATCAATCATTTTTCCTGTGTATTATTTGTTTCTATTATTTTGGAAATAATTATATCTAATATTCATATAACATTTTTATATGTCAAGCTCTCATCTAATCCTAATAATAACCTATTAGGTAAGTACATACTATGATTGTCTCTATTTTCAGATGAAGAAACTGAGGCACAGAGAGGTTAAACAACCTGCCCAAAGTTACACAGCTATTAAGTGAGCAAGCTAGGATATGAACTGTCTGTCTGAATCCAAAGCCTAGAATCTGGAGCTAGAAGACATGGATTTGAATCCCAGTTCCAGCTTCAGTTTTCTCCTCTCTAAATGGGAATGATGATAACATCTACCTCACAGGATTTTAAGGGACAATTTCTAATAAAGTATGTGAAAACACTTTGAAAATGGTACATATGCTATGATGATTAATATATATGTGTGTAAATTCATTTATACACACTATGACTATGAAGTAATCATACTGGTTTTGTGTAATTCTCCTTACACATTTTTCAGACACATTATATGATTCTATTATTCTGTGCATTTGTTTTCATATTTAAAATATGTTTTAAGATTTAAAATATATATTATATAAAGAGACTTAGTGTTGCCAAGTTTTATTTGTATCATTTTATGTAAAAACACATGAAAATATTTGAAGACAAGTTTTTTTGTAAATGTACCTAAATTTTGATCTTTGTAGTCATCTAACTATGTATGTACACATACATATACATGTACTATGTTATACTGAGATTATAGAACTTAGGTAATAAACATATTTGTGTGGGTCATGACATACCTATATGTGTATGTGTGTATTAGTATTTCTGTTAAAGATGAAATAGAGCTGCTGTCCTAATAAAATGAATTAAATTTGTTCGAGTGAAAGATTTTTTTCTTTAGAGTCAGTAAATTGTAATCTGAGTAAATTTTTTAAAAGGATATCTATTCAACAACTGAATAATAAAATCTATCTAATTTAGACAAAACAGAAAAAATCCTCTGAGTATTTAGATGGGTGGAATGTCTGAAATATGAGAATGGTTTCAAAAGAATGCAACTTTTAACATTTTAGTACAAAGGGTGACAGAAATGAGGCAAACCAGAATGTAATAGAGGGCTTCTTTTTAATTAATGCATATAAATGGTTTTTGTAATTACTGTGCCAATTTTCAGGATTGCCAGGAACTGTTTACCTTTGTTTAGTAACTTGTCTTGAAATTATTTTTACTTAATAGATGTATAATCTCTAATTTTTCAGATTTCATATTAATATTATACAGATGTTTTTGATTGTGAGATTATTAAATAACCTAGCAAGGAGGATGGAAATTCAGTTTGTATTTCTCTTTATTGATGATTAGAATTGAAGTTTATTTTTACTAAAATTAGCAAGTGAATGACCCTCACAACGTAACTACAAACCAAATTACAGGCATACCTCATAGATATTGTGGGTTTGGTTCCAGACCACCATAATAAAGTGAATATCATGATGAAGTGAGTCAAAGTAATTTTTTGGTTTCCCAGTGCAGATGAAACTTATATGCTGTAGTCTATAGTATAATAGCATTGTGTCTAAAAAATGTACATACTTAATTAAAAAATAATTTATTGCTAAAAAGTGCTAACCATCATCTGAGCTTTCAGTGAGTCGTGATCCCTAATCACAGATCACTATCACAAGTATAATAATGAAAAAGTTTCAAATATTGTGAGAATTACTAAAATGTGACACACACACACAAAGTGAACAAATGCTGTTGGAAAATGGTGCTGATAGACTTGCTTGATATAAGGTTGCCGCAAACCTTCAATTTATAAAGATGCAGTATCTGCAAAGCACAATAAACTGAAGCACAGTAAAATGAGTTATGCCTGTAATAAATTTGTTAATGGAATCTTCTGCCTCAGATTTAGGACTTTAGCTTCAGTAATATATGAAACTCTTTTAGAAAAATATTCACACATATATTGTGGGAGTTAGGTAATTCTCTTTTAAATTCCCCAGAAAGCCAATGCTGGCTAATAAAATTAATCGATTGCTCCAAAATTGATATAAATCAACATTGTATAAGTCTGCAATATATCATAATTTCACTCCTGTTTTCATCTTAACCTTAAGGGCATTGTAAAAGGGTTATTACTTTTTTCAAATTAACTTTCCAGGAGTTGCTCGATGAACTACAGAAATTTCTGGAAACTGAAAAAGATGAATTAATTTTGGAAGTTCCAAACCCACCTCCTAAGAAAATTCGACTACAAGAACTAGAAGATGGGATTGATGGGATTGATAATCTGAGTCAAAATGGAGAGGGAAGGGTCTCCGTTATTGAAGATGGTAGCATTGCTTCCAAGAACTCAAATTTAAATGTGTGCAATGTATGTCTAGGAATTCTTCAAGAATTCTGTGAAAAAGAGTTCATTAAAAAGGTAAATAATCTGTTTTTTATTATATGTGCAATTATGTAGAAATTTTTGGTCTTAAAGCCTAGAATTCTTGTATCTAAAGTAACAATACCATTCATTTCAACCTGTATTACATCAATGGATCATTAAAACATTTCTTAATTAAAAAATAAACAAGCCTACTATTCTCAAATTACTTTTTTATTAACAAGATAACTGAAAATTAATGAAGTAGGTGTCCATGTATTTCAGTCATGAATACTACTCAAATGAAGAAAAATATAGTGGTTTTTCCCTCTGCTGTTTAACATAGCTAACTAAGGAGTTAGAGTAAAGCTCTTAGTCATACCTTTTAGTGTCTTGAAAAGACAAGTGTTACAGTTTTATGGAAGATACATGATTGAATGTGGGATTGCCTTTTGTTTCCAGCTGTCAAGAGTGCCAAATTTGGCTTTATTTTGTTTAAAAATCTTAAGTTATGAGGTGATCTAAGAGAAAATTATTTTGATATTCAACAGATTGTTCTGCAAGTGAGTCCTCGCTGTGTTGGCATCTCGTGATATCAGTCTTCAGGGTCATAGTTAGCAAATACTTGCTTTGGGGATGCTTATGAGAAATCCCAGAGGTGAAAGTTTAGAAGTGTAGTGCCATCTCCTGGACCAAAACCCATGTTATGAAGATTAGTGTAAAATTTTCAGGGGTGCCTGGGTGGCTCAGTTGATTAAGTGTTGCCTTCAGCTCAGGTCATGATCCCAGGGTCCTGGGATTGAGCCCGCATCGGGCTCCCTGCTCAGCGGGAAGCCTGCTTCTTCCTCTCTGACTCCCCCTGCTTATTTTCCGTTTCTTGCTGTGTCTCTCTCTGTCAAATAAATAAATTAAATAAATAAATTAAAAATAAATAAATAAAATTTTCAGCAATTCCTGAGAATTTATATATATAAATGCTGTTTTATGTTAAAAAATGCTTTTATGTAATACTTTTTTAGGTGTGCCAAAAAGTTGAGGCCTCTGGGTTTGAATTTACCAACTTGGTATTTTCAGTCTCCTTTCCACCACAGCTATCTGTAAGAGAGGTAAGGTCATTTAAATGCATAAAACTATATGTGAAATGCATGCTAGAAATATCTCAAAAAATGGAGACGTAAAAATATTCCTTACCATATTGTATTTTCCATTTTTTTGTGTACTTATTGAATGATAGATGACTGAAAGCATGGCACTATTATAGCTGCTTAATAATGTTGAATGAATGGGTGAGAAAAGGAATTATTAAGTTAGTTTATCATAGGACTGGGTTTTGTTTGTTGTTTGTTTGTTTTAGTTTTTAATACTGTGTCAGCAGGATTGAGAATATCACATGGTTCATTCTTCTGTGGGAAGTTATGTAATAAAAGCATAGTGCCTTTGAGCATGAAAATCCCAAAGGTCAGGAGTCCTCTAAAGGAATTGAAAGGTAGAGATTTCAGAGAATTTCTCTTATTTTCAACATGTAAAATGACTAGTTTAAGTCACTTTTTGAAGACTTAGTGAAGAAAATAGTGCTCTTTATGCCATTGAAAAGACTGTCTTTTTTTTTTTAAGGTCCTCATTCTATAGCATATATTCATTAAGCTTTAGATCTGTATGAGGCATGTTGGTCAGAGAAGGAGATTTGACCAGAACATCAGAGATGTTTTGGGGTGGATGTATGCATGTTATAATGGTCCGGGTATAGGGTCATTTCAGTTATGACGAACCTTCTTATTTTCTGGAGTAAAATACAAAAAGATGGCACCCCTTTTAGTCAACAGGAAAAGGGAAAGAAATAACCTCATGTTTATTTTAACTTTATTCCTTTGTTAAGTGAAAAAAATAATAGTAGTCATTACTGTAACATTCTTGTGTGTCAAAACGGGCATGAATACATAAAACTATCCTATAGGGAAAATGACCTTTGTAATTTCAAATTACAACAATGAGTTCTAAACATATCCATTTATGTGTGTAAGGTGTCTTTTTCCTAAGAATCTGAAAGCATCACTAGAACATTATATCTCATACCATCACCTTCTTTGGGTGAGCAAAATATGTTGGAGCAAATAATGTGTTTATTAGCCCCCAACATGCTGAAGATTGATTTAAAGACCTTTTGAAGCTGGATGAATGATAGAAAAGAGCTGGGAAGTGAAAAAGAGTAGAATAGTTTTAATATCTCTGTCAATGGTAAGATGATAGAACAGGTAGAAGAAAGGGGATGATGATGATGTATGGAGGTTTATAAACACATAAAGTCATTTTCTAGTCAATCATCAAAGCATTTCTCTTTGATAGGTCATTTTCAGGATCCGATTTTGGTAGCAAAAACCAGACTTCTGAAAGCTAAGTGGATCAAAAAGTTGCAGTGTTTAGAAGAAATAAGAAGCATATTTTCTAAGTGTGGTTGTATATCTTACCACCAAACTCTTCCTCTCAGAGTTTATATTTTGACATTAAAATTTTTATTTTCCATTTTTATCACTTAAGTGATGATTTTAACATATCCATTTAATGTTTATTGAATAGTTATGAAGTGTTTATATTCCATATTAGAAATAGAAAATACTATTTAAAAAAAATAGAATTATAAATTCTACTTCTTGTAACTGATTTTAACCCCTAAACTATTTTACAGAAATATGTGACTATTCCAGTTATTGGGGAATTAATACATTTCCACAGTATAGTGTGTTAAGTGACTCATTGTTTTCCTTTGTATTGAGTAATATATTTTTACTCATTCATTTCTTAAGAATAATAATTATTCAAAAAGTACACAGTGTTACACACCGTATACAATTTTCAGAACCCAGATTTCTTTAGCAAATTGTTTATGGTTCACTTTGCAATTTTTTTCCATTATTATGTTTTATTACTTTTTTTTTAAGATTTTTTATTTTTTATTTGACGGAGAGAGAGAAAGAGTACAAGCAGGGAGAGCAGCAGGCAGAGGCAGAGGGAGAAGCAGGCTCCCTGCTGAGTGTGGGGTTTGATCCCAGGACCCCGGGTCTATGACCTGAGCTGAAGGCAGATGCTTAACCGTCTGAGCCACCCAGGCGCCCCTGTTTTGTTACTTTGTTTGTTGCTGTCTTTCCTTGGAGTTGAGATATGTTATGTAGACCAGAGTGGATATGAATTGCTTTTCAAACTAGTTAACTTATTTGTTACATATCCCAATTTAAACAAATTACACATTTTGAGAGTACTCTTGCCTTTTGAATAAAATTCTGTGATTTCTCTAGTGACATGTTTCTTTTACATTGTAGTTTTTCAACTTACATCTTATAAAACTTAGAACTTGTGTGTAGAATAAATTAATACATTGGAGTTGATTCATGCTAGTTATCTCATAACTCAGAGTGGAATATACAGTTGAGTGAATTTGAATGATTCAGTGTTTTCTATTTCTAGAAAATTATGATCACAGGTGTATTGATTTAAAAGCAAATAATTTTTTATCAGTATGGTGGTATTATGTATCTGCTTACAGAAGAACCAAGGAAAAGGATGACCTCAGGTAAAGGTTTTTTTTTTTTTAAATCAAACTATTAAATTTATATTAACTCCTTCATATTCAGCCCTGTCAATCCCTTTCTGGCTAAGCTATAGTTTTTATTTATCATCATTATAAAAGCACTAATTTAAAAGCTTAAGAAGAAAAGCTTGCAGATTATATAATCAACATCTTCCACTGAGTTTGGGAGAATATGGAGGGAGAGGTGGAATACGTCTGTGTGTATTTTCCTAGGAACTGTCTGATCTGCTTAGGGCAGTTTTAGATTGAATACTACTAGAGAGGAGGAAAACAAGCAGATTATCTGATAAAACCGTTAGACATCAAGTAAGACATGGTAAGCAGAATAAATGGGAGCAGTATCCAGAGACTCTCAAAAGACCACAATATGGAATCTAGCTAGGTGTAATACTCAGAGCCTCCAAAGTCTTTATAACAGTATACAAAATTTGAATGATAAAGTTGAGATTATAAGGGTTAGTAATAAGTATATCACGACTGTCATGATGACTTTCTGGATTTGGGCTCACCACTTGAATGTAACAATGGAAGGATGTCTTTTTTATGAGAGTCGGATTTATTAAAAGGAGAGATATAATAGTGTGATATGGCAAGAAATTATATACCTACGTTGAGATCTGAGACTGTAAGTGGAGGGATGCTGCACACCATCTAGAGGAGAATAAAGAAGAGGGAAATAGGATAGATACAAGAATGGAAGTGTGTTGAATGACCTTTGGCCAAGGGAAGAAGGTGATGAATTACAGATATAAGATAGTCATAAAGGTTAGTGTTTACAGTAGTATGAGGGACTCTCATTGTTTGGGTACTTGATGGAAATCACCTTTGGTTAAAAGTACATTGACAGCTCTTGAATAAAATAGTGGTTCTCAAACTCTAATATGCATAGGACTCATTTGGGGAGTTTCCCAGGTCCCTTCCTTAGGAGATTCTGATATAGTAGGTTGGTGGGACCCATGAATTTGTGTTTCTAACAAGCTCATGGGTGAGGTTGGTACTGCTACAAAGGAGCACACTTTGAGAACCGCTGTCCTAAAGGATAATGGCAGAAATAATCTAGTCTGATAATAAACTGATAACTTTTTAAAAATTTATATTCCTGATAGGAAGAGAGAAACAGGCATAATTGAATGTATCCTATACTTTTTTTTTTAGAATAAAAATTCAGTTTATTCATCTGTTTATGACACTACACAAGAGGCGAAGTGTTTCATGTCATAGATTTCACTTCCAACTCTTTGGTATGTTTCTTTGGCTAAAAGGAGATTAGACATGAGAGGCAGGCAATGCTTAGGCAACTGAAATAAGGATGGGGAGGGGCGATGCCAATCTCATCCTTGCAGGGCTGTTTTCTAGAACTGTTAGCTGGAAACAAAGGAGCACCACTCCTGGATGCTCATGCTGTCGTGGGCCTCAGTCATCCCCACCACACAGGTACAGCAGTGCTTTCTGGAAGTCACCCTCATGTCTTGCTGGATGCAGTAGTACAGGGACTTGCTGTACTTTCTCTTGAATTCAGACCTAATTTTCAACATGTCCTCTTCACTGCAAGAGATCATGATAGATCATGATCCTTTTTTTTTTTAAGATTTTATTTATTTATTTGACAGAGACACAGTGAGAGAGGGAGCACAAGCAGGGGGCAGTGGGAGAGGGAGAAGCAGGCTTCCTGCTGAGCAGGGAGCCTGACGTGGGGCTCAATCCCAGGACCCTGGGATCATGACCTGAGCCGAAGGCAGATGCTTAACAACTGAGCCACCCAGGTGCCCTGATAGATCATGATTCTAATCAGAACTTTATTGCAATTCCCCTTGCCTTTCATGGAGTCATACAGTTGGTCAGCAAAATACAGGGGCTTGTTCTGACTGCTCTGGACCCAGTTCAGGAAAGCATTTTCTAGGTCTCCTTTGACCTCCTTCTTGATGCTCTCCAGTATGTCATAAGGGCTATAGCTCTTGTACCTTTCAAATACTTTCTGGAGGTGACACACACTCTGCTTGGTCATGATGCTGATCCACTTGGGCACATCAGTTCCTTTCCTCTTCACTCCAGCATCATAGACATCGCAGGCATCTTAGTCAATCAGTTCATAATCAATGACAGAGCCATCCTCTGCTCTTCTACCATTTGCAAGGGCAACCATCAGCTTGCGGAAGTCACCAGATGTGTCAGAAATGATGTCCTTCTCCAGATCAATCTTGTACATTTCCTTGTAGACTCTGTTAATTTCCTGATGCTCTTGGTTGCTCCTTGAGCAGATGATCTCAGTGAGGGAGTCTTCATCAGTCCTCAGCCCCTTCACGGAGGCTTTCAGCTCAGAAGCATCATACAGAGCAGGTCCCCTGTGATTAGGCCCCAAATCACAGTTTTTAGGTGGCTGGACAAGGCTGACTTCAGTGCTGATACAAGTTCTTTTTGAATCCTTCTTTGGTAGGTGAAGGCAATATCCTGTCTCTGTTCATTGCTGTGGTTGGTCAAAATGTTGACAATGGTGACCTCATCCACACCTCTGGTCATTTCAGT